CCCCTTCCTGCTCTCTGAATTGATCGGTCCGTAGTGGATTAGCTTCAGATTGTCATAGCAGTCTGACCCTCTCTGGCCCTGAACAAGCCTTGCTGGCTAATTGAAAGACACACACCAGTCTGCAGGATTAAAGACCACTCTATCATTACACACAGAAATAAACACATCCACATAGAGCGAGATGGGCGGTTCATTGAGGTTTTGGATGTGTCAGGCCAGACGGGAATAGCTTGCAGTTGCAACACTGAGACAAATGTAACTAAGCCCTCAACGCAAATTGGATGTTTTGTGTGTGCATGCCTTTGAATTCAAAACTGTGTGTGTGAATGCACTACATCTGCTTACATAAGTACTTGTAAGTGTGTCTGAGTTCATTCTTGAGTGTGTGGCAGTACCTGTTTCTGGGAACAAACTGCAATAAAAAAATAACAAAATAAGGAGAGGGCAAAAAAGTGTCTGAGTAGAGTAGCAAAAGCACAGAGGTAATCATGGAGCACCCCCTCGCCAAGCCTCGGCTGCAGGTAACACGACTAACATCTGACCCCCCGAGTCCAGGGGAGTGTGCCTCGTACACAATGCAGAGTGTGCAACATTATATATAAATGTGTGTGCAAATACAAGCAAATATAAGTAGTGTGTGGTTGCACATATAATTTGCAGGATGGCAATTCCGGGCATTAGTCCCACATAATAAAACCTCATTTTGTATGTATTTACGGAGTGCACAACTGCATACATTTCATGTATGTAATGTGCTGTGGATGCAATACTTCTGTGTAATGCGTTATTACATGTAATTCTGCCTGGAGCCAGGCAGCTGAATGAGTTTCGGTAGTGGATGGCAGATTCAGAAAACCACAACTACTGAAAAGAGAAGATGTGGAAGGAAGCCCAGAGGAGGGGGATACGGTAATGACGAGTTTGTGTGTAAGGGCGTTCTCGGTTGTACATTCCCCCACGCGCCGGCTCTCTCTGATTGAAAACAGCAGTGCCTCGGCTCAGCCTTCCTCCGGCTGCAGCAGAAAAAGAGCCTTGAAATCCTGCCTGCATCATCCCGCACAGGCCCCCAATG